CCCAGCCCGCAACTTCTCGCCTGGAACCTACCAGCGAAGGCGGGCGACGCGATCTTCAAGAAGCTCGGCTGCCCTCCGCGGCCCACGAAGGGCAGCGAGGGTGCCACGACGGGCGACAGCGGGGCCACGAAGGGCTGCGACGGGGCCACGAAGGGCAGCGAGGGGGCCACGAAGGGCTGCAACGGGGCCAAGAAGGGCAACGATGAGGGCAACGAGGGGCTGCAACGGGGCCATGAAGGGCAGCGAGGGTGCCACGAAGGGGTGCAACGGGACCACGAAGGGCAGCGAGGGGGCCACGAAGGGCTGCAACGGGGCCACGAAACAAAGCGAAGGGGCACGAAGGGCCGCAACGGGGCCACGAATGGCAGCGAGATCCCGACTCCAAGGAAATCTGTCAAGGAGTCCTAAGCGTGATCGCGACTCCTGGGTGCCTGGGTGTCGGGAGCGCGGCGCTTGAGTAAATTGCGAAAATTCCAGCGCAAGGGCGCTATCCTTCAGTAAATTGCAAGCAAGTCTCCAGCGAGAGCGCGACTCCAGAGCGCCGGGAGAGCGATTCCTGAATAAATTGTCAGGAAGTCCCAACCGAGAGCGCGATTCCTGAATAACATGCGAGGAGGTCTCGGGCGGGAGCGGGGGTCCTGGCTACATTGAGGAAGTCTCAGGCGGGAGCTGCTGTTGTTGTAACCCGGGGGCCAGGGGCCCAGTTTGAGCCTCAAGACTTTCCCTCACAAAAAAACCAGGTGTGGGCGTCGAGGGGCACACTTTGATTGAGAAAAAACAGTATACACTGGTGGGGGGATCAACAATATTCTTTTGATATGAAAGTTGCATTACATTATCCCAGTGCGACCCTACCTAGGAGTTGGAGCATCTGGGAAAACAACATCTACATCTACACCGACAGCTACATTAACATCTACACCTACGCTATGCTAAGCTGCGCTATGCTATGCTGCGCTGCGCTGCGCTGTGCTATGCTATGCTATGCTATGCTATGCTGCGCTGTGCTATGCTAAGCTAAGCTGTGCTATGCTGCGATATGCTATGATATGCTGTACTGTGCTATGCTATGCTGCGTTATGCTACGCTATGCTATGCTATGCTATGCTATGATGTGATACGATGTGCTATGCTATGCTATGCCATGCTAATGCTGCGCTAAGCTAAGCTAAGCTGAGCTAAGTTAGCTAAGCTAAGCTAAGCTAGGCTAGGCTAGGCCAAGCTAAGTTAAGCTAGGCTAGGCGGGGCTAGGCTAAGCTAAGCTAAGCTAGGTTAAGCTAAGATGAGATAAGAAACGCTAAGCTAAGGGGACGTCACTGGGGGAACCACGGGGCGGATCCTGGGGGAACCGCCCAGGGCGGGCAACACACTGCCGCCCCTTTTAAGCACAGGTAGAACCTTCTAGCAGAGCCTATGTAGGAGCGCAACAACACCAACACAACAACACCACCAACAACAACACTCACACCAACCCACCATAACCAAAACCACACAACAACGAACAACACACAAATTACTAGCACGTTGGGGACACTCCGTTCTTCACCTTGATGTTTTCATAGGAGCGGCAATACCCCCACTTTGTGTGGGGGGTCCGTTTCAAGCTCTACCACATTTCCACGACTCTTCGTTCGCACCACCCACCCCATCTTCCCCCCCATGCACGTTCGGACGGAACTTCACGTCGTGCACTCGGACGCCGGGCTACTATTCAGAGACCACCGCGGCGATCGACGACTCCGTGCGCGCGCGAAGAAAAACCGAATGTGTCCCGCATGGTATTATTTGACAGGGATGATGGCCCTGGCAGGTGCGCAACCGTTGTCGCAGAAGTTCGAAAAAGTTGCTCGCAAAAGCCCGTTGACAGAAATGTTTAAAAAAGTGTTGGGTTTCCTACGAATCCGCAAGAGCGCGCGGGATGAGATTTTGACATTTTTTTGTTGAAAAACCATTGGTTTTTTGATGTTTTTATGTTAAAATCGCTCCGAACACTAAGGTTTTGGAAGGATTTCGTCTTGCGCGCGCGAATGTCCACTTTACCTTATTTTTTGCAAGGGATTCTTGAAATTTGATTACATTTGAACAAGAAATTTCATTTTATAGTGTTTTTTGCAAGGGGAAGCGGGGGGGAACACAACAACCGGATCTTGATCACATCGAATTACCTGAGGCTTCCTCACGAAAATGATGAAAATGTAGCTGCGGCCTAGGCGGCGCAGGGGGGCCGTGCACCAGGGGTCCCAACAATAATTATTCTTTAGAATTAATAATGTTCAACAACAACAACAACAACGCAATAAGCAGGATCTTCACCACGGATTCTCACTTTAGCCACGCACCCAGGGACAATGAATGACCGTTCGGCCCCCTCATTCTGACGAAATAATCGGCGCCTGCGGCGGGCTCGTTTTATAGCCTGAAAAATTCTGCGCCTGCGGCGGGCTTCTTCAGAGCCTCGCGGACTGCCGACGTACCCGCCGCCCCCTCACTCTTATCCGCAACTGCGGGGTGCTACGGCAGCTTGAAAAATTCTGCGCCTGCGGCGGGCTTCTTCAGAGCCTCGCAGACTGCCGGCGTACCCGCCGCCCCCTCACTCTGATACGCAGCTGCGGGGTGCTACGGTAGCTTCAAAATTTTGCGCCTGCGGCGGGCTTCTCCAGAGCCTCGCAGGCTGCCGACGTACCCGCCGCCCCCTCACTCTGATCCGCAACTGCGGGGTGCTACGGTAGCTTGAGAAATTCTGCGCCTGCGGCGGGCTTCTCCAGAGCTCCACCTGCCGCGTACCCGCCGCACCCTCACTCTTATCCGCCACTGCCGGGTGCTACGGGCTTGAAAATTCTTGCGCCTGCAAGGCCGGGCTTCTCCAGAGCCTTTCAGAAGAAAAAGATGACAAAAAAGACTGCCGACGTACCCGCCGCCGCCTCACTCTTATCCGCAACTGCGGGGTGCTACGGTAGCTTGAAATTCTGCGCCTGCGGCGGCTTCTTTCAGAAAAAAAGAAAAAGAAAAGAACAAAAAAATACGAAAAAAAAAAAAAGAGCCTCGCAGTCTGCCGACGTACCCGCCGCCGCCTCACTCTTATCCGCAACTGCGGCGTGCTACGGTAGCTCGAGAAATTCTGCGCCTGCGGCGGGCTTCTCCAGAGCCTCGCAGACTGCCGACGTACCCGCCGCCCCCTCACTCTTGATCCGCAACTGCGGAGGTGCTAACGGTAGCTTGAGAATTCTGCGCCCGCGGCGGCTTCTTTCTCCAGAGCCTTCGCGATACTGCGACGTCCACCGCCGCCCCCTCACTTTCTGCGACTGCGGGGTGCTACGGTAGCTTGAAACATTCTGCGCCTGCGGCGGGCTTCTTCAGAGGCTCGCATCCTGCCGACGTACCCGCCGCCCCCTCACTCTTATCCGCAACTGCGGGGTGCTACGGTAGCTTGAGAAATTCTGCGCCTGCGGCGGGCTTCTCCAGAGCCTTGCAGACTGCCGACGTACCCGCCGCCGCCTCACTCATATCCGCAACTGCGGGGTGCTACGGTAGCTTGAAAAATTCTGCGCCTGCGGCGGGCTTCTTCAGAGCCTCGCAGACTGCCGACGTACCCGCCGCCCCCTCACTCTGATACGCAACTGCGGGGTGCTACGGTAGCTTGAGAAATTCTGCGCCTGCGGCGGGCTTCTCCAGAGCCTTGCAGGCTGCCGACGTACCCGCCGCCGCCTCACTCTGATACGCAACTGCGGGGTGCTACGGTAGCTAGAGAAATTCTGCGCCCGCGGCGGGCTTCTTCAGAGCCTCGCAGACTGCCGACGTACCCGCCGCCCCCTCACTCTGATCCGCAACTGCGGGGTGCTACGGTAGCTTGAGAAATTATGCGCCCGCGGCGGGCTTCTCCAAAGCCTCGCAATCTGCCGACGTACCCGCCGCCCCCTCACTCTTATCCGCAACTGCGGGGTGCTACGGTAGCTTTTTTTTCTCACACCTCGCAAGGACGAGGCGACAAAATGAGTCCCACACACCTCCCGAGAACGCAGTCCGCTTACGCCCGAGAGTGTCAGAGGCCAAACGCCTGCAGACAGCGTTCATGGCGTGCTTGCGCTGAAAGAACCACAATGGCTTGTGTTCTCAGCAGAAGGTGCCGGGGATGCAGCGGCCAGCACTGTACATGAGCTGCTACCTTGGGCTGCAGCTCGCTGGACATTGCTGCGTGAAAATGCACTGCTAACTTGGGCTGCAGTGCCACGCAACTAAAAACCCCAACAACATTTCTCCCACGCGGCACTCGAGCGAAAGATGGACATGCTTGGTTCGCGCATGAATTCTCTGTCCTGAGTCCTGAATCCTGAGTCCGCCTAAAATGCGAGGTAGCGCTTGCAGCGCAAATCGGGATTGGTGACGGAGGAATGGTCCCCACCGCCGAGCAAACCACCGACTGGATACCCCGACTTGCCCAAGTTCTTGGCAAACATATTCAGGTAGGGAATGCCTCCGCCAGTACGGCCCCATACGGTCTTCAATTTAATGCTGTGGAAGCTCATCCAGCCCGTTCCCTTTCGATGGGCCTGCGGCTGCTTGGCCGTGTAATGGAAGCCGCCCTCGCGCACGTCGTCCGCCCACTTACCGGTCACATTAATGGATACAAAGTAAACGTCCGAGCATGCGTCGCCACAACGCTGTGCCACGGCCGCGACGGCCAGGAGCGTCGCGCTCTCCGCTGCAAACTGTGGGACCTCGACCAGCAAGTGCCTGCCATCTTTGAGGAGATCAAAACGCTCCCCGTGTATATTTACCAGGTGAGGATCCCCGACTGCAGCAGCAATCGCTGCAGGCGTACGGGCTGGCGTAGGGGCAGGCGTCGGCGCCTGAGTTGGTGCTGGCGTCGGCGCTGGCGAAGGCACTGGCGTCGGTGCCGGGGTCGGTGTCATTGCCACGTAGGGCTCGATTTTTTGCACGAGAATCCCGGGGGGGCCGGGATAGCCACCGCCAATCGAATGGAAAGCACCAACTGCGTACCATCAATAATAGAAGGCCACGCTCCCGTCCAAGAGCGCGTCCTGCGACGATCCCTCCAACCCTCCCCAATACAAGCCTGTGTAAGGGACAGACACCGCCTCATAGCCTGCAACTGGCCTGGTTGACTGCTGCCCTGGTGAAGTAACTGGGTTGAGCGATTGCTTCCAAACTTGGTCCTGCGCTCCAGAACCTGGCCAGCTCAATTTGAACGTGAACTTCCCGTCGCCGCTGCGAAAAGTTTCCAGTTGATCCAAAATGGCATAATTGTCATTTCCAGGATCTCCGGCATTTTTCGACCACTCCCCACTGCTGAATAAATACGGGTACGTTTGCCGAGCCAGTAACGTCCAAACCGTAGTGCCCGTGGTACCCTTCGGGGAACTGACGCGGCCGAGGTCGAAGCTGGTGGCGTCCGTGCCGAGCTGCAGGAGCACGGTGTCCTGCTGAGGGTCGACCTCCGCCGCTGCGGTCGTGCCGAAGACGCCGTGGGCGAGGAGATGGATCAGCAAGCACGCTCGGGCAGGCGCCGTCCGGGCCATCGTGGCGTGCACGTCAGAAAGGCAGACTCGGGGAAAAGTTGGTCCGGTGAGGCGCGTACGTTGGCGTTTCACGTTTGAGCCAGATGGCTACGGAGGGGGTGCTACGGTAGCTCGAGAAATTCTGCGCCCGCGGCGGGCTTCTCCAGAGCCTCGCAGACTGCCGACGTACCCGCCGCCCCCTCGCTCTGATTCCGCAACTGCGGGGTGCCACGGTAGCTCGAGAAATTCTGCGCCCGCGGCGGGCTTCTCCAGAGCCTCGCAGGCTGCCGACGTACCCGCCGCCCCCTCGCTCTGATTCCGCAACTGCGGGTGACTACGGTTTAGACTTTCGAGAAAATTCTGCGCCTGCGGCGGCTTCTTCAGAGCCTCGCAGTCTGCCGACGTACCCGCCGCCGCCTCACTCTTATCCGCAACTGCGGGGTGCTACGGTAGCTTGAGAAATTCTGTGCTCGCGGCGGATTTCTCCAGAGCCTCGCAGACTGCCGACGTACCCGCCGCCCCCTCACTCTTATCCGCAACTGCGGGGTGCTACGGTAGCTTGAGAAATTCTGCGCCCGCGGCGGGCTTCTCCAAAGCCTCGCAATCTGCCGACGTACCCGCCGCCCCCTCACTCTTATCCGCAACTGCGGGGTGCTACGGCCTTAGCTCGAAGAAAATGCGCGCCGCTGGGCGGGCTTATCCAGAGCCTCGCAGGCCTGCCGACGTACTCGCCGCCCCCTCACTCTGATTCCGCAACTGCGGGGTGCTACGGAGCTCGAGAAATGCTGCGCCCGCGGCGGGCTACTCCAGAGCCTCGCAGGGCGCCGACGTATCCGCCGCCCCTCATCTTATCGCAACTGCGGGGTGCTACGTAGCTCGAGAATGCTGCGCCCGCGCGGGCTTCTCCAGAGCCTTCGCAGGCTGCCGGCGTACCGCGCCCCCTCGCTGTGATCCGCAACTGCGGGGTGCAGCAGCACTGAGAAATGCTGGCGGCCCGCGGCGGGCTCTCCAGAAGCCTCGCAGGCTGACGGCGTACACCGCCGCCCCCATCGCTGTTGATTCCGCAACTGCGGGGTGCTACGGTAGCTCGAGAAATGCTGCGCCCGCGGCGGGCTTCTCCAGAGCCTCGCAGGCTGCCGGCGTACCCGCCGCCCCCTCGCTGTGATTCCGCAACTGCGGGGTGCTACGGTAGCTCGAGAATTGCTGCGCCCGCGGCGGGCTTCTCCAGAGCCTCGCAGGCTGCCGGCGTACCCGCCGCCCCCTCGCTGTGATTCCGCAACTGCGGGGTGCTACGGTAGCTCGAGAAATGCTGCGCCCGCGGAGGGCTTCTCCAGAGCCTCGCAGGCTGCCGGCGTACCCGCCGCCCCCTCGCTGTGATTCCGCAACTGCGGGGTGCTACGGTAGCTCGAGAAATGTGCGCGCCGCGGCGGGCTTCTCCCGAGCCTCGCAGGTGCCGGCCGTGCGCACCCGCCGCCCCCCTCGCTGTGATTCCGCAAATGCGGGGTGCTACGGTTAGATCGAGAAAAAAATGCTGCGCCGCGGCGCGGCTCTCAGAGCCTCGCAGGATGCCGGCGTACCCGCCGCCCCCTCTCTCTGATTCCGCAACTGCGGGGTGCTACGGTAGCTCGAGAAATGCTGCGCCCGCGGCGGGCTTCTCCAGAGCCTCGCAGGCTGCCGACGTACCCGCCGCCCCCTCGCTCTGATTCCGCAACTGCGGGGTGCTACGGTAGCTCGAGAAATGCTGCGCCCGCGGCGGGCTTCTCCAGAGCCTCGCAGGCTGCCGGCGTACCCGCCGCCCCCTCGCTGTGATCCGCAACTGCGGGTGGCTACGGTAGCTCGAGAAATTGCTGCTGCCTGGCTGCGCCCGGCGGCGGGCTTCTCCAGAGCCTCGCAGGCTGCCGGCGTAACCGCCCGACCCCTGCTGTGATCCGAACTTGCGGGGTGCACGGTAGGCTCGAGAAATGCTGCCGCCGCGGCGGCTTCTCCAGAAGAGCCTGTTCGAAGGCTGCCGGCTCGGTACCGCCGCCCCCTCGCTGTGATTCCTGACAACTGCGGGTGCTACGGTAGCTCGAGAATGCCTGCGCCCGCGGCGGGCTTCTCCAGAGCCTCGCAGGCTGCCGGCGTACCCGCCGCCCCCTCGCTGTGATTCCGCAACTGCGGGGTGCTACGGTAGCTCGAGTAATGCTGCGCCCGCGGCGGGCTTCTCCAGAGCCTCGCAGGCTGCCGGCGTACCCGCCGCCCCCTCGCTGTGATTCGCAACTGCGGGGTGCATACGTAGCACCGAGAAATTGCTCGCCCGACGGCGGGCGTCTCCAGAGCACTCGCAGACGCTGCCGGACTCTCCGTACCCGCCCGCCCCCTCGCTGTGATCCGCAACTGCGCGGTGCTACGGTAGCCGAGAAATCGCTGCCGCCCGCGGCGGACTTCTACCAGAAGCATACGCAAGGCTGCCGGCAGTACCAGCGCCCCCTCGCTGTGATTCCGCAACTGCGGGGTGCTACGGTAGCTCGAGAAATGCTGCGCCCGCGGCGGGCTTCTCCAGAGCCTCGCAGGCTGCCGACGTACCCGCCGCCCCCTCGCTCTGATTCCGCAACTGCGGGGTGCTACGGTATTTCTCCCCCTCTTGAGCGAGAGAGGCGCGACGGCACGCGGCCCCGCCGTGAGGCCCGAGGGCCGAGGCGGGGTCCGGGCGAGGGGACAGGCCTCCGCCAGCAGCTGGGCAGCTTCGCTGGGCAGGGAGAGGGAACTCAGGAGGAAAATCCTGGAGGCCTCGTGCGGCAACTGAAAATACATATTGGAAGACAAAATGACAAACCAATGTGCAAAAGCCGTAAAACATAGTCGAAAAATCGTCCCCATCCGATCTTTAGACTATCGTTAAATATTCCTCCAGTAGAAGGGCATGCCCGACTTGAGACTGGGAGCCGGGTGGTCTAGCGCGGCAACTGGAGACCCGATGTGCGTCATATCCACGTCGGATGTACGTCGAACTACGTCGGAATTCCGTCGGGTTGACGTCGGACTGACTCCAGACGTCGTCGCGCGAGCTTCGACCCATAGCTTACGGAGCTGACGTGTGGACTCGATAACACTACTGTTACGCACAGCGCGAGGCCTCCTGGATTTTCTTAATAAGGGAAGGGAGACTGCCCTCTGGGCAGAAGCAGGGACAGGGGGAGGGACGAGAGGAAGAATGCAGCACCCATCAACACTCGACTCCACGAAACCCCTTTGCGGCCAACACAGCCTGAGTTCCTAGGGAGACCCAAAGGTACCAATACCGCTACTCCCCAGGCCTCTCCCGGGGTGCGTTCTGACCAGGATGTCGAGGCGAATCCAGCGGTGGCGACGAGGGCCTCCCAGGAAGCCGAAAAATGGGATAACGGGCGAAGGGTAGGGGTCATTTCCTGTTTTGAGTTCCCACTCTTAGCGGGCCCTGGAAACGATAGGGCCGTTTTTTACCAATTCCGTTTTGCAAATTGTTGCTGGTTCCGACGCCGTGTTTGACCGGTTCCGTCGCCGTTTGTTTTACCAATTCCGGCTCCGGTTCCAATGCTGGAGCCATTTGTTGGCCGCTTCCGGTCGCCGTGTTTTTGCCGCTTCCATTTTCACGGGACACTGTTTCGGAACCGGTGAAAAACGCCCCTGCCGTTTCCGGGGTCCACGAAATTCCCACCCCTGGATAAGAACAACTCCCCGGCTTGAAGCGCGCAGCACGAAGCGCGGACACATTCGCACCCCTGCGAGCTACCTACAGCACGCGAATTCACAAAACCACAATGCCTTGGGCGCAGCCCGGCATGATCCAAATCGCCCCGACGCGTCGTCCCCACGATCGCCGGATTACAGCGGAGGCCAATCCACAAGAAACCTTCCACAAAAAACCCAACCCTGAGACCCCAGGACGTCCATTGCTTTTCCGTGTGGGAGCGTCACGTCTTCCATGGCAAGACCATCGAAGCCCAGGAAACCCGGGGCACACTTGAGGCAGGCAGGGTGTTTCCTGGCATGGGCCTCCACTATACAACACAAGATTTCAGTCGCCCCGACGCCTCGTCCTCCTCCTCCTCCTCCTCATCCTCCTCCTCCTCCTCGATCGCTGTCTTACTCGATCCTGCTCGACAGACCTGCACCGAACGACAGCACTGGCGACGGCAGCGCGGCGAGGAAATCAAGAGCAGGTGACCCCAGTGATTTCGGAAAAAAGGGACAGAGGCAGAGATGACGCATCATAATATGACATGTGAGCGTTTTCTATTCGGCGTTTCGACATTGGGTCGAAGGGGGGGACGGGGGGGGTTTGGCTCCCGACCTCTGCTTAGTGCGACTGTTTTGGACCGTGCGTCCTATGAGGGGGGACCCCACTTGCTCGAAACAGGCGCCAAAAACAGCCAAGATCTACTCTATGGAGGGGGGGGAGGGGGGGGGTGCGAGGGCCCACGCCGATTGGCAAAAGAATGAATAACAAAAACGCTCACCATGTGGGCGAGAACCGAGGCGAGAACCGCTGGTTTCGTGTGGTATTCCAGTCAGTACCCCCTGTGCCCGGATGCACTGAACCCCGACGGAAGGTTGCATGCAAAGGGCCCGCGGCAAAATGACAAGCACCGGACCCTGGGATGCGGAAGTTAACAGCGTTTGACGCCTCGTGTCATCTGGCAGTGGGGATCAATCGCGGCACTGACGGCAAGTGGGGCCCTCCTTCGGCTTCCCGTAGACGAATCTCTTGACGAAAAGCCAATCGGCTATGATAAAATCAACACCAGCGACGATGCTCCAGGCACTGTCAGGTACGCGGACAGCGATGAGCGGGGCCACCGTGGAAGAGGGGCAAGGGATAAGTGACCACGAACGAGATTTGGATAGCAGGATGCATGTGACATCAATCAGAGGAGTCGATGAGAACGATGAAACCTGATGGGGGAAGCATTGGAACACACTGCCATGCCAGATGCCTGAACCGAGTGAGTTCCAAATTTCAGCGACTTAAACAGGGAAGCGCTTCAAGGTGGACATAGCAA